CTGGCTGGACTATGTAATTTTAGCCTTGTCGGGGATCAGTAGAATGCAGCAGGTTCATTAGACTCACATAATTCATTCCACACCCACCCAGATCCAGACCCAGACACACACCCCCACCCACACAGCCACAGCCAGCCCCTCATCCAAATCGACATCCAGCAACAACCTCGCAGAAAAGCGTTCTCGCCTCAATGCAAATGTACGGTAAATTGCATTTTCGGCATTTTTAATTGGCAACATACAAATTCATACATATTGAAATACATATGCACACACACATGCGTAGACCTTTAGCGTTATATTGCCACGCATAGACACAATATGTACTTTGTGCATGTGTACATAAATATTTTGATGTACTATTGGCGCCAGGAAAACACTTGATTTTCTGCCTGTTTTTCATCTACTAGACAAGGTTCTTGTTTTGGGGGTTAATGCAATATTTCTGTTTGAGCGAACATGGCGTGGGGGCCATAGCTAGACAGAAAGATGACTATTTTCGTTGATCAGGCGATTAATTGATAATTAATCGACAGCAGACGGATTACAAGGGTTGCTAGCATTAGGGTCGGGGGTGGTACCAAGTCGTACCAATAATGTGACTCAACGCATTCACTCCCGGGCTAGGGCATGTATCGACTAAATGATAAACAGATCTTATATCATGCCTGTGTACGGGTACCAGTACGAGTACGAGTACGAGTACGAGTGCAAGTGCAAGTGTCTTTCTGTTGATATATGTACGAGTATGCACATCGGTACAAATGTACTTTTGTTTTTATAGCATTGGATTATTGTCATATCTTGCATTTTGTTGACTGTGTGCTTAAAATAAATCAAATGAAATTCATTTCAATTGCATTTCTTTGGCATATTTGATGAGAAGATGCGCCTGCAGCGATTTCCTGCTCACAGAACCGTATTCAATCCGATATTGATGCATTATTTATTCACGAAAGTAATCTTTTTTCTTGGTTTTTATTTTTTCTGTTCTCATGCGTTGATTAATAAATATTTTAAGGGCATTATCTGTTCGAAATGTTCATAGTATATTTTTTTTTTTTTACTTGTTTTACTTGTTGGCTTCCTGTTTCTATAATAAGATCATGTATACATATATATAATATATACAAAAGTAGTACCATATAGATATGGACGTGCCTGCGTGTTGTTGTTTTGGATTATTTTTCGATGCATTCGAGTATTATATTTCCATAAAAACCTCACAGAACCCCATCTCGAGTGGTCTCTTATCGGAACCAATAATGGTGGTACATACATATACATATGTACTAGGTGGCGCTCGCTCTCTCATTTGCTGATATTATTTTACGACTTCAATTGAATTAGCAATCGAATTGGCAATATCAGTTGGCGCAGTGCCGTACTCAAACGCTCCCGTGATCCTATTCAGAATGCGTTACTCACAACCGATGTGTGGCTCGTTCTGATGAAATACAGCTGATGAATACGGCAACCCGTAATCCCCACATCTGATACTAAAACTAAACCAAACAAAATCTTCAGTTCACTCCCTCAGTGAGTAAGAAATGCCGAGATATCTCTTTGTGTACGCACGTAATAAGTACTCGTACTCCCCACAGGCATTATCAGTTGGTTGTCCCAAATCTGATCACATATAGTACACATACATATGTACATATCTATATATATATATATGTATTCGTAGTACCTACTCTTGATACCATTTACTTATAGACAAAGTAAAAGTTGGTCGAGTGCTTATACCCGGCACGGTACCCATGGTATGACGAAGGTATATCCGTTCCTTTTAAGTATATATGTACATATATGTATATTTATGTAGTCTTGATCAGATCTGGATATAGGAGAGAGGAACAAATTTTCTACACTTTAAATCTTTTTCTAAAACCTAATCGAATCTTAGTAGCGAGTAAAATTTAGTCGGAATGTCGGTCGAGGCGTATTTGAACTCTTTTTACAATGCTTTATATTTAAACTTGATTAGAGAGAAACTGTAGTCGACCTTGAGATAATGGTTTTGTGGGATGGGCGGGGGAGTGAGAGAAAGATAGTATAATCAGTATAATGGATTTAGTTTCCCGTTAGTTTTGGGTGTATCCATGGTGGATTCAACGAGTATGATCGGTTTATGATCGTGATTTATATCCATGCAATATCGATGCGAAAGGAATTTATTTCTTCTATCTGGCTTTCGATAAGCGATAAGCTATTTTCGTGCGCATCGCCTATCGAAATGGTCGTGACTATCGTAATTGCTGCGACCTGACGTCATCTGTCCAACGGGGTAGATAATGGTAAAATGAATGCGCGATTTGCGTTGCGTTACCTGCCAGGCTAGTGCTATCCATACCAGCATCATAAATAATTCCCACACACCACACAGATGCATGGACGCAGCCGCAGAGGCAGACACAGACACATGCATGGCTGAGTGAATGTGTTGCATATGCAAGTAGATAAGCTGCATAATAAAGCACACATTACGAGTAGGTTGAGTTGTGTTGTTGTTGGATTGCAAATTGCTGGCTGGTTTGGTGTGTGGATTGTGGATTGTAGATGACGGATTGTGGGCTGTGGACTGTGGCGAAAATTCTGTTAATGCGCAGTTTGCTCGGTTACGGGGAAGGGGATGGGATGGGATGTTGTTGCGTTGGGCGAAAACAAAAAGGAAACGAACCCCTCCTTTCATTCTTGTTCCTTCCCATACATACACACATACACACACACATACACACACACATACACACATACATACCTATGTAGATACATGGCGTACGTGTGCTTCAGCATGTTCGCCTGCTGCTTTTTCTGCTGCCCTCCTCCCTTAAAACCGACGAGGCTAAGCCGAAGCTGCAACGGTTCTCTCCCACTCTTTGTCTCTCTCTGTTCCTCTCTCCTTCTCTGCTTCTCTCTCGTTTCAAAGTTTTCTTTCACACAACTTGCCAAGGGAAAGAGGAAGCGAGAGAGAGAGAGAGGGTGACGGGGGGTGACCTGACCCCTTGTGGGCTATGAGAAATTCGTGGAATGATGTGGAATGCCTTGACCCACTGCAGCGCCCGGTCAACGACTGATTGGGTCAGACCATGGGCTCCCGCCCACGGACTCTCTTGCGATGAATGACCTAAACCATGTGTCCCTCTTCCCACGATTCCCATTCACAGATTGTGGCCCGGCGACACGATCTGAAGCTAATTGTGACCTCCGCCACGATGGACTCCACCAAGTTTGCAACATTCTTTGGGAACGTGCCGACATTCACCATACCGGGACGCACCTTTCCCGTCGACGTGATGTTCAGCAAGAACACCTGCGAGGACTATGTGGAGTCGGCGGTGAAGCAAGCGCTGCAGGTGCACCTGACGCCCAACGAGGGCGACATGCTCATCTTCATGCCCGGCCAGGAGGACATCGAGGTGACGTGTGAGGTGCTCGAGGAGCGTCTGGCCGAGATCGACAATGCCCCAGTGCTGAGCATTCTGCCCATCTACTCGCAGCTGCCCTCCGACCTGCAGGCGAAGATTTTCCAAAAGTCCGGCGACGGGGTGCGCAAATGTGTGGTGGCCACCAACATTGCGGAGACCTCGCTGACCGTGGATGGCATCATCTACGTGATCGACTCCGGCTACTGCAAGCTGAAGGTCTACAATCCGCGCATCGGCATGGACGCCCTGCAGATCTATCCCATCTCGCAGGCGAATGCCAACCAGCGTTCGGGTCGTGCCGGTCGTACCGGCCCCGGTCAGGCCTTCCGGCTGTACACCCAGCGCCAGTACAAGGACGAGCTGCTGGCCCTCACTGTACCGGAGATTCAGCGGACCAATCTGGCCAATACGGTGCTGCTGCTTAAGTCGCTGGGCGTGGTGGATCTGCTACAGTTCCACTTCATGGACCCGCCGCCCCAGGACAACATCCTCAATTCGCTCTACCAGCTGTGGATCCTGGGCGCCCTGGACCACACGGGTGCCCTCACCACCCTGGGCCGTCAGATGGCCGAATTTCCCCTAGATCCACCGCAGTGCCAAATGCTGATTGTCGCCTGCCGCATGGAGTGCAGCGCCGAGGTGCTTATCATAGGTGAGAGAAAAGACCCGAAAAAGGAGTAGCTCTCCTGATCCTTTTCATAACACTCTCTCCACTCTATAGTTTCCATGCTGTCGGTGCCCTCGATCTTCTATCGGCCCAAGGGACGCGAGGAGGAGGCGGACGGAGTGCGCGAAAAGTTCCAGGTGCCCGAATCAGATCATCTGACCTACCTCAATGTGTATCAGCAGTGGCGGCAAAACAGGTAAGTGTGAGCCCCCCAGCGGCAGGGGATCACAGACCAGATTTGACATTGCGTTGGTCCCCCTCTCCCACAGCTACGGATCGTCGTGGTGCAACGAGCACTTCATTCATATCAAGGCGATGCGGAAGGTGCGCGAGGTGCGTCAGCAGCTGAAGGACATCATGACCCAGCAGAAGATGAGCGTCAAGTCGTGCGGCACCGACTGGGATATTGTGCGAAAGTGCATCTGCTCGGCGTACTTCTACCAAGCGGCACGGCTCAAGGGCATCGGTGAGTACGTGAACCTGCGCACAGGCATGCCCTGCCATCTGCATCCCACCTCGGCCCTGTATGGGCTGGGCACCACCCCCGACTATGTTGTCTATCACGAGCTGATTATGACGGCCAAGGAGTATATGCAGTGTGCCACCGCTGTGGATGGCTACTGGCTGGCCGAGCTGGGGCCCATGTTCTTCTCCGTGAAGGAGTCGGGACGCAGCGGCCGCGAGAAGAAGAAACAGGCCGCCGAGCATCTCAAAGAGATGGAGGAGCAAATGTTGCAGGCCCAGCACGAGATGGAGGAGCGCAAACTAGAGGCGGCCCGCCAAGAGGAGCAGATGGCCGCCAAACAGGAGATAGCCACGCCAGGCACTACCACGCCCCGACGCACACCGGCCAGGATCGGCCTCTAAACGAGCGGCAGTGGATCAGCATCGATCAGGCAATGAGATCTGCATAAATCAATGTATTTGATAAGTTGAACAGCTTTTTTTCTATTTTCTAATAAAGAATCAATGAAATCGGAATCAAAAGTCCAATCCAGAGGTGGGTTGGGATGCTTCCGCCACTCTCCAGCACGCATTGGTTGTCCTGGACACTGTGGTAGGCACTGCAGCGGCACTCGCCCCACTTGCACTCCATGGAGGACGTTGGAGGCAGGGGTCGGGATTCACCTGCCATCAGAGGATGCATTTGGCAGTCGCTGTTGGTGCGACAGTAGGCACCAAACGGCACTATGGGCTCGCAGATAATCCGCTCCAGCTGGTTTGTATCCACTGCATTCTCCTCTTTCGGGATGGCGTTGGGGACCTTTCTGGGATAGTGGGTGGAGCGACAGGCGCAGCGATGATCCTGGCACTGGCCACCGGAACCAAGGCTAAGCTGGCAGGCCGTGCTGCTGTCGCAGCCATCGCCGTAGTCCGATCCAGTGATGCACTTGGTCATGTTGCGGTTGTGGACATAGTTGACGGCACAGCCGCACTTCTTGAGCTGCGGCAGGCAGAGCAAGGCACCGCAGCTGCCGCAATCGGTGTCGTTTACGCAGCTGGACTCTGTAGGTGATCATAGTAAGCAATAACTTAGTTTGTGATCGCGTTTCTTGGGAAGCAGCCACTCACCCAGGACGGCCAGACAGTGTCCCTGATGGGACTCAAAGTTTGATCGACACAGGCAGCGATTTTGCGATAGGTGGCAGGAACTGAATTTGTCCGCCAACTGGCACTGGCGATGGAATTCGCAGCGTTCGTCCAGTCGCACCACCTCCGCGAGGCAGCGTCGTTTGTCCTCGCTCGGAACGAATCCGGAGGAGCAGGAGCACTGCTCCAACTTCTTGTTGCACTCGGCATGGTCCTGATGGCAGGGACAGTGGCCGCCAATGATATTTGTGACCTTCTGTTCCATGGGCTTGCAGTCCACGCGCTGACCCGAGTCACGTGCTGTACAGGTGCAGGTCGCATTGAGGCATCGTCCGCGCTCAAACTGGAGGCACTGGGCATCGGTGGAGCAGCTTAGCTCCAGGATCTCCTCGGCCAGGCAGAAGCCAGCCAGAAATATAACCATTAATCCGTAATAATGCATTATTTGCATTAATTTTATGAAATAACCTGCGATTAAGTTGTATAGCTTTCACAGTTAGCATTAACCGTTAGAAAGCTCAGCTTAAGAGTTTCGGTAAAAGCTTTTTTCTTACTATCGATTCTATCAGGCAGTCTGGCAACGCTAAGTTCATCGATGCCTCTACCAGCACTGTCCATGGCATTTTACAACAGAGGTGGAAGAACATCGATGTTTTTAGAAAAATTAACTATCGACTGGATGGAACAACTGGAGCAGGGTGACCATTTACGTTATATAATATTATATACTATACACATTAAGTTGAAACACTAACCATACAGTAGTCCCGTTCATACACCTAACATGTCGCAAAAGAACTTTCTGGATAAGATCGCAGGGTCTTCGGCTCTGGCGTTCGTCTACCGCCGCGCAGAAGAAACCAGTATTTTAAAGATACGCAAATCCAAGTCTTCGGTAGGCTATATCTCAGACAAATGAGGCCAGTTCGGTGATCGGTCAACTCTCCCGGGATAGTGGGGGTCCTGACTGTCGAACGGCATCAAAATGTCGACTACGAAAATGAGGCCGATTTTTGGCAAATTTAATGATGTAACCATCATGATTTTTTGCGAAAATCGTGAAAAAATGGATGTCCCTTTTTCCGATCGCAATCGATTGGCAGGACTCGCCCGATCACGGAAAGACATGCCGCACCCCGATCGGCTGCCGTATTGCAGAGATATAGCGTACAGAAGAAACCAGTATTTCAAAGACATGCAAATCGTAGTTTTTGGAAGGCTATATCTCAGACAAATAGGGCCAGATCGGTGAAGAGCCAACTCTCCCAGGATCGTGAGAGCCCAGACTATCGAACTGCATCAAAATCTGGACTACGAAAATGAGGCCGATTTTTGACAAATTTAATGATGTAACCATCATGATTTTTTGCGAAAATCGTGAAAAAATGGATGTCCCTTTTTCCGATTGCAGTCAATTGGCAGGACTCGCCCGATCACGCAGAGACAAGCCACGCGCCGATCGGTCCATAAATAGCCGAGATAAAGCGTGCAGAAGAAACCAGTATTTTAAAGACACGCAAATCCAAGTCTTCGGTAGGCTGTATCTCAGACAAATGAGGCCAGATCGGTGATCGGTCAACTCTCCCGGGATAGTGGGGGTCCTGACTGTCGAACGGCATCAAAATGTCGACTACGAAAATGAGGCCGATTTTTGGCAAATTTAATGATGTAACCATCATGATTTTTTGCGAAAATCGTGAAAAAATGGATGTCCCTTTTTCCGATTGCAGTCGATTGGCAGGACTCGCCCGATCACGGAAAGACATGCCGCACCCCGATCGGCTGCCGTATTGCAGAGATATAGCGTGCAGAAGAAACCAGTATTTTTATGAATTACCATTCTTCGGAAGGCTATATCTCAGACAAATAGGGCCAGATCGGTGAAGGGCCAACTCTCCCAGGATCGTGAGAGCCCAGACTATCGAACTGCATCAAAATCTGGACTACAAAAATGAGGCCGATTTTTGGCAAATTTAATGATGTAACCATCATGATTTTTTGCGAAAATCGTGAAAAAATGGATGTCCCTTTTTCCGATTGCAGTCGATTGGCAGGACTCTCCTGATCACGAAAAGACATGCCGCACCCCGATCGGCTGCCGTATTGCAGAGATATAGAGTACAGAAGAAACCAGTATTTTTATGAATTACCATTCTTCGGAAGGCTATATCTCAGACAAATAGGGCCAGATCGGTGAAGGGCCAACTCTCCCAGGATCGTGAGAGCCCAGACTATCGAACTGCATCAAAATCTGGACTACGAAAATGAGGCCGATTTTTGACAAATTTAATGATGTAACCATCATGATTTTTTGCGAAAATCGTGAAAAAATGGATGTCCCTTTTTCTGATTGCAGTCAATTGGCAGGACTCGCCCGATCACGCAGAGACAAGCCACGCGCCGATCGGTCCATAAATAGCCGAGATATAGCGTGCAGAAGAAACCAGTATTTTAAAGACACGCAAATCCAAGTCTTCGGTAGGCTGTATCTCAGACAAATGAGGCCAGATCGGCGAACGGTCAGCTGTCCCAGGATCGTGAGGGTCCTGACTGTCGATCGGCATCAAAATCTCGACTACGAAAATGAGGCCGATTTTTGGCAAATTTAATGATGTAACCATCATGATTTTTTGCGAAAATCGTGAAAAAATGGATGTCCCTTTTTCCGATCGCAATCGATTGGCAGGACTCGCCCGATCACGGAAAGACATGCCGCACCCCGATCGGTCCATAAATAATCGAGATATAGCCAAATAAAATATGAAAAAATCGGCAATTTTTGTCGTAAGTTGAAGATTGTTGTTGCACCATAACAAAAATCGGTGGATTTTTGTTGTAGAACAATTAACAACAACAAGCGACTACAACAAGCCAGGTTTGTTTTATTGTTTTCTCCGCTATTTGTGGCCCGATCAGTGTGATGGCTTTCTGTGATCGACGAAATGCACCCGACTTAATGGAGCCCTTATCACGGATCCAGAATATTTGTCCCAATCAAACATCATAGTATTTTTTCGACAACGGAATCAGAATAATCCTTATCTAACTTATTTCTATCTTAAAAAATAACAAAAAATTACAAAATCATTTGCTGACGAAGAGCTCAACAGATTGGCCCATTATTGCCATAGTTGGTCTGGTGGAGATTATCCACAAAGGTTGGGTGGGCTTAGGTTCCAGGCAGGCGTACTCAAACCAATCCTACTAAGCAGGTCAGGGCAATCGATGTTAACCACTAGGAGGTTATAGATAAAGATCTGAGCAGCAATGGTCCTTCCATCTTAGAGGGAGGAGAGATGCACAACGCGAAATCTGCTAACTTTCTGGATTAGATCCCAGGCTCTTCGGCTCTAAGCCAGCTCTGACGCCCATTCATACGCCGCCGAATCAAACGATGGGCTACAGCTTCAAAACGGGTAAGTGAATCAGTGTACAATTGTGGACATATTTTAAAATATGTATATCTTGATTCACAGAGGACTTATGTACCATACGCTTTGCCACAAACCGAGTCGTATCCGACTTACTCCGCCAAAAGGAGTCCTATCCAAGCATTACCGAGGCGTATTCGAGATAGACCGAGTCCAATCCCAGCCAGACAGAATCGTGTCCCAGCAGGACAGATGCGCACCCCTGCAAGATCCGAACGTAAGAAGCCATCGTCATCCTTCGAACTAGCCATCGACAACAAGGGAGAGGGTACGCGAGCTACTAGATTTTAGATAGATATCGTTGTTGTTACGTTTAAGATAGATACAAATGTTTTCCACTTGCTTATTTATTTGTACTAAGCTAAGTTTTGATCAATAAAGTTATTGAAAAATCATCCTTGCTGTGTTCTGTATTGGGGAAACTATCCCGATTACAAAAAGGCGTGGCACGCCCAGATCGGTTCACAAACAGCGGAGAAAACAATATTTTTTTGATTGGGGAAAAGGTCCTTGATCCTTGATAAGGACTTTATTAAATCAGGGACATTTATTCAAGAACAGGAAGCCATCGCATGACCAGATCAACCCACAAACAGCCCAGAAAACTAAATATGTATAGTTGGCGTTGTTGAAGTCCTTGCCGAAGGATCAAGGAAATTTTTCTGATCACGGTGGGCCATGGCACCTTCCGCTCAGGACACAAATAAGGGAGAAAACAAGATATATATGTCTGGAGGAGACATCCTTGATCCTTGGTCCTTGATAGGTACTCCATCAAATCAAGGATGTTATTCCGAACACACGAAGCCGTCGCATGTCCCGATCGGGCCACAAATAACGGAGAAAATAGAACTGGCTCGTAACTGGCTTTGAAAATGTAGTTCAAGAAATCACAGATAGGGGCGCCACTGTACAAGAAAGAAAACTTGCGTCAAATGGCTGGGATACCAGGCGAACAGAAATCAGTAGAAGGTTACTGAATTTTTTAATTTGCGGGCCCCCAAAAGTATGCCACAATATTTTTTGCATTTGCTACAGTTACCTTCTGCTGATTTCTGTTCGCCTGGTATCCCAGCCATTTGACGCAAGTTTTCTTTCTTGTACAGTGGCGCCCCTATCTGTGATTTCTTGAACTACATTTTCAAAGCCAGTTACGAGCCAGTTCTATTTTCTCCGTTATTTGTGGCCCGATCGGGACATGCGACGGCTTCGTGTGTTCGGAATAACATCCTTGATTTGATGGAGTACCTATCAAGGACCAAGGATCAAGGATGTCTCCTCCAGACATATATATCTTGTTTTCTCCCTTATTTGTGTCCTGAGCGGAAGGTGCCATGGCCCACCGTGATCAGAAAAATTTCCTTGATCCTTCGGCAAGGACTTCAACAACGCCAACTATACATATTTAGTTTTCTGGGCTGTTTGTGGGTTGATCTGGTCATGCGATGGCTTCCTGTTCTTGAATAAATGTCCCTGATTTAATAAAGTCCTTATCAAGGATCAAGGACCTTTTCCCCAATCAAAAAAATATTGTTTTCTCCGCTGTTTGTGAACCGATCTGGGCGTGCCACGCCTTTTTGTAATCGGGATAGTTTCCCCAATACAGAACACAGCAAGGATGATTTTTCAATAACTTTATTGATCAAAACTTAGCTTAGTACAAATAAATAAGCAAGTGGAAAACATTTGTATCTATCTTAAACGTAACAACAACGATATCTATCTAAAATCTAGTAGCTCGCGTACCCTCTCCCTTGTTGTCGATGGCTAGTTCGAAGGATGACGATGGCTTCTTACGTTCGGATCTTGCAGGGGTGCGCATCTGTCCTGCTGGGACACGATTCTGTCTGGCTGGGATTGGACTCGGTCTATCTCGAATACGCCTCGGTAATGCTTGGATAGGACTCCTTTTGGCGGAGTAAGTCGGATACGACTCGGTTTGTGGCAAAGCGTATGGTACATAAGTCCTCTGTGAATCAAGATATACATATTTTAAAATATGTCCACAATTGTACACTGATTCACTTACCCGTTTTGAAGCTGTAGCCCATCGTTTGATTCGGCGTCGTATGAATGGGCGTCAGAGCTGGCTTAGAGCCGAAGAGCCTGGGATCTAATCCAGAAAGTTAGCAGATTTCGCGTTATGCGTCTCTCCTCCCTCTAAGATGGAAGGACCATTGCTGCTCAGATCTTTATCTATAACCTCCTAGTGGTTAACATCTATTGCCCTGACCTGCTTAGTAGGATTGGTTTGAGTACGCCTGCCTGGAACCTAAGCCCACCCAACCTTTGTGGATAATCTCCACCAGACCAACTATGGCAATAATGGGCCAATCTGTTGAGCTCTTCGTCAGCAAATGATTTTGTAATTTTTTGTTATTTTTTAAGATAGAAATAAGTTATATAAGGATTATTCTGATTCCGTTGTCGAAAAAATACTATGATGTTTGATTGGGACAAATATTCTGGATCCGTGATAAGGGCTCCATTAAGTCGGGTGCATTTCGTCGATCACAGAAAGCCATCACACTGATCGGGCCACAAATAGCGGAGAAAACAATAAAACAAACCTGGCTTGTTGTAGTCTCTTGTTGTTGTTAATTGTTCTACAACAAAAATCCACCGATTTTTGTTATGGTGCAACAACAATCTTCAACTTACGACAAAAATTGCCGATTTTTTCATATTTTATTTGGCTATATCTCGATTATTTATGGACCGATCGGGGCGTGGCATGTCTTTCCGTGATCGGGCGAGTCCTGCCAATCGACTGCAATCGGAAAAAGGGACATCCATTTTTTCACGATTTTCGCAAAAAATCGTGATGGTTACATCATTAAATTTGCCAAAAATCGGCCTCATTTTCGTAGTCGACATTTTGATGCCGTTCGACAGTCAGGACCCCCACTATCCCAGGAGAGTTGACCGATCACCGATCTGGCCATTTTTGTCTGAGATATAGCCTTCCAAAAACTACGATTTGCATGTCTTTGAAATACTGGTTTCTTCTGTACTCTATATCTCTGCAATACGGCAGCCGATCGGGGTGCGGCATGTCTTTTCGTGATCAGGAGAGTCCTGCCAATCGACTGCAATCGGAAAAAGGGACATCCATTTTTTCACGATTTTCGCAAAAAATCATGATGGTTACATCATTAAATTTGCCAAAAATCGGCCTCATTTTCGTAGTCGACATTTTGATGCCGTTCGACAGTCAGGACCCCCACTATCCCGGGAGAGTTGACCGATCACCGATCTGGCCTCATTTGTCTGAGATACAGCCTACCGAAGACTTGGATTTGCGTGTCTTTAAAATACTGGTTTCTTCTGCACGCTTTATCTCGGCTATTTATGGACCGATCGGCGCGTGGCTTGTCTCTGCGTGATCGGGCGAGTCCTGCCAATTGACTGCAATCGGAAAAAGGGACATCCATTTTTTCACGATTTTCGCAAAAAATCATGATGGTTACATCATTAAATTTGTCAAAAATCGGCCTCATTTTCGTAGTCCAGATTTTGATGCAGTTCGATAGTCTGGGCTCTCACGATCCTGGGAGAGTTGGCTCTTCACCGATCTGGCCCTATTTGTCTGAGATATAGCCTTCCAAAAACTACGATTTGCATGTCTTTGAAATACTGGTTTCTTCTGTACGCTATATCTCTGCAATACGGCAGCCGATCGGGGTGCGGCATGTCTTTCCGTGATCGGGCGAGTCCTGCCAATCGACTGCAATCGGAAAAAGGGACATCCATTTTTTCACGATTTTCGCAAAAAATCATGATGGTTACATCATTAAATTTGCCAAAAATCGGCCTCATTTTCGTAGTCGACATTTTGATGCCGTTCGACAGTCAGGACCCCCACTATCCCGGGACAGCTGACCGTTCGCCGATCTGGCCCCATTTGTCTGAGATATAGCCTTCAGAAGATTGGACTGAGAGATCTATGTATATAGCATAGCTAGTAATATTCGACGGAATATCAAAAACGAGGAATATGTAAAATAGAACTTGAATTCGTCAGTATATTTACGGTATATTTTGAAAATGAGGCGGTATGTTTCGGTATATTTCTGAGGGTCGGACGGTATATTTTACCGATAAATCCGCGGGGACACTGTACCTCTTCTTCTTACAAAACTTATAAAACACACAATGTCTTTTAGCAATTTGTTAATGAAAAGCGGTCTTAACCATGGATTGCGAGGAACACCCGCCACGGTTGTGCTCATTAGCACGCGCCAGGGCCATAGGCTGCGTGGCAAGCCGCCCGGCGTGGCCCGTACGCTGGAACAACGTTTGCGGGGTAAGCCCTTTTCCTGATTTGTTGATGTAATCGCGCTGAAAAACTCACTTTCCCCACCCACAGAGGAGACTGTGACTGATCCTGAGGTGGTGGCCCGCATCAACATTGGGTTTCCACAGCTCAAGGAATCGCGCTCGGCCCAGCTAAAGACCCGCCTGGAGCATCTAAAGATGCAGCGGGCCAACAAACAACTGGAGCAACTGGCACGCAGCCAAAAGCGTAAGTAGCATCCAGCACCACTAGATCCTTATGTGTACCTGTCATTTATGCCGTGCCGTATTGTCTCCTGCAGTGATCATCGATCTGGACAAAGTGCAGCAGACATATGTGCAGACGACCGGCCAGCACGATCTACGCCTGCTCGCAGATCATTATGGCATCTTTGAACATCTGTATGGCAGCGCCTACTTTGTGCCCCGCGTGCCACTCAGCATAAGCTATGAGCTGGGTGGCGACACCCTCACACCGGTCTACAATGGCAATGTGATCAAGCCCGCGGAGGCGGCCAAGACGCCACTCGTGAGCTTCGATGGTCAAAGGGATCCCATTACGGGGAAGTCGGCGGCGGGGCAGGATAGCTACTGGACGTTGTTGGCCACCAATCCAGATGCCCATTACACCAATCCTTCAGCGGAGTGTCTGCATTGGTTCATGTAGGTATCAGGAGCCTTATCTGACATGGTTTCCCAATTGATGGTCCTCTTCTGCCTTGCAGTGCCAATATACCCAATGGCAGGGTGAGCGCAGGCCAGGTTCTAGCTGAATATCTGCCACCGTTTCCGCCCAAAGGCGTGGGCTATCAGCGCATGGTCTTTGTGCTGTACAAGCAGCAGGCTGCCATGGATCTTAGCTCTTACCAGCTGGCCTCCTCGGACTATAGCAATTTGGAAAAGCGCACATTCAGCACGCTGGAGTTTTATCGCCAGCATCAGGAGCAGTTGACGCCGGCAGGGCTGGCCTTCTATCAAACCAACTGGGATGAGTCGCTGACGGAGTTCTATCACGATGTTTTGAGTGCGTTCTTACACAGAGATTCTACTCCTGCATTTGGTTTATACTGGATTCTTTTACTGCAGATCTAAAGGAGCCTGTCTATGAGTACGATTTCCCCAAACCGTATCTTGCTGATCAGAAATTCTTTCCACTGAAACAGCCCTTCAATCTGTACATGGACAAGCATCGCGACGAGAAGCAGCTGAACAAGGAATACCTGCAGCGCAAGCTGGCCAAGTCGCATCCCTTCGATGGGCCCGCCAAGCCGCTACGCTTTCCCAATGCCCATCCCATCAAGGATGTGCCCTCCTGGCTGAAGACAGAGATACGCAAACAGCGACTGGGCACTGGCCGCATACAGGATTACTAGAAGGAAGCTCCAATTTGCTTTTTTTAAGTGTTATATTTGTTAACAAGTTCGCTTTCTTTTATTTACTGGAAGTACATGAGTCGATAAAGTACACGGTTGCCTTCCCTTCTCTTCGCGTCTACCAACTACGTGGGGGATTGGGATTCTAGATTCTAAATAAATACGTCGACTGGGGGTATTGGTTAAGGGGTAAGGGGGGGAATCGTGTGATGCGTTTAACAATTGTCTGTCGAATGTGCTAATTTAATTAGTTTCCTTTTCAAGAATTGGTTTTGTTAATTGTCGGTTAAAATTTTTTTTTCGATTTTTTTGGCACAGTTTTTTCTATACGTTGGCGTCTGTCCAGTTCAAGTGGACTAGGTCTGCGCCTTGCCGTAGCTGCCAACTGGTGGCCTATACATGGCCGGCAGAAATGGTACCTGCGTCCAATGGAAGGCATACTTGCGTGTGCCAATATTCTTCAGGACGTTGTCCATTCGTGTGCCCTCGCTGGACCAAATAACAAACGGAATATAATTTAATTTAAGCCAGTTTTAGGGCAGGACTTACCTTCTCATGGTGCTCAGGGCGTAGGGCACGTGCTTGGCCGGCAGCTGAAATTCACGTACCAGCACTCGACACTGCTCCAGGGTGACGGCCATCCCGGTGCGATCCTTGGCACTCTTGCAGGAGGTGAAACGCAGGCCATCCATCAGACGGCAGGCATCCTCGGCCAAATGAAGAATCTTTACATTCTTGGAGAGATTTGCGCGGAGCTGCTGCTCCATGAAGCCCAGGAGTGACTGCAGCGACTCGCCAGCGTCCACAGAGCCTAGGCCCAGCTTGCGATACCGCCCGTAGTACTGGCTGAGCCTCAGATAGTTGTCCCAATTGGAGCGATGCTGCTCCCGGGTCTGGCCCACCGTCTCGGCATAGGTGGCCTTGCCATTGATGCCGATGTTGAAGAATACGGGCGTGATCTTGAACGAAATGGAGGTGCCGTTGCCGGGCAGTGAGTGCTCTGGCACTGGCAGCTGCACTTCCAGAGCCTGACGCGATCCTGTGATGCGTGGCATCGGCGCCAGCGTGGCCTCGCCCTGAGCGCGCACCAGCTGAAAGCTGACGGCCGACAGATCCTCAATGGCAATGCACATGTCGCTCCACATATCCGCCTCGTTGCCAAAGAGCGTCAACAGGCCCTCAAAGTAGGCCAGCGGCCCCAGATCCCTGAGCATCACCAGATAGGCCATGTCCAGCTCGCTGCCCCAAAGGCGCAGCATCAAAGAGCTAACCAGAGCCGTCAGCTGTGGGGGAGAAAGCAAGGATTACTTTACTATTACTATCCCATTTGGCGGTGGATCCCCATTCTTACCGCCTGAGAGAAGCAGACATCGCGGCGATACATGATGCTCGCCTGCAGACGATTGCAGCGCACATCCTGCTGCAGCCGTTGGACCGAGTGCATTAGGCGGGCCGTCTTCAGCAGCCTGTCCATGGCATGCCGTAGCTTGCGCATGCTGGGACGCAGTTCGGCGGCCCAGTCTGTGGTCAGCGATAGGTCCAATCCGTCTGTGAATTTGTTGCCCTTCTTGACGGCAGCCGAACCTGAGGATCCTGCTGCTGCTGCTGGCTGGGGCTTAAGGTCCAGTTCCAACTGCGTTGTGGGCTTTTCGGGTGCCGAAATCACATCGGGTGCCGGCGCCTGCTGCTGCTGTGGGGCCACGGCAAAGCCCTCGCGCTTCATCGGCGGCTTGGGATGACGCAGTCGGATGGCCGGGCTGTCGCGACGGCCACAGAAGAACTTCAGCTTGCACTCCAGGCACATCACACTCGCCTCGATGTTCAGCTGGGTGAGATCCAGGGGCTCGGGCTCCTCCGTGGGCCGGTAATAGTTGGCCGAGGGCGAGGAGCTCATCAGCTTGGTGTCGAGGAATCCTGCGGGCGGCTGCGGATTGTGGACTGTGCCCCTCATCTCATCCAGATCGATCAGCTGCAGTGCAGCGGGAATGGGAGTCGGTTCGGGCTGTAGATGGGGATGTGGATGTGGCTGTGGCTGGGCATGCCATGCCAGTGGCAGCGACTGATATGTGGCCTCCGCCTCAGCCAGGGCATTCTTTTCAGTACGCAGTCCATCCGCGCCCTGCTCTAGGCTACGCAGATGCTCGTTGTAGCACTTGACCACGTGCTGCAGCGAGTCAATGGCACGAATGTCCAGGGAGCTGGAGGGCGAGCTGTTGCTCGGATGCCAGCTATTGGAGCGCATCAGCGGCGGTTGGCCCCGGGGCCACAGATCAGGCGGGGCCACCACCGGCGTGGCAAAGTCCTCCAGCTCTGGGGACTTTAATTCCAGGGCCGTCAGCTGTTGGGTTATCTTTCGGAATGGGGACATTGGTTCCATCAGTACATTCTCCGGCTCCTCGATGATGCGATGCTGTTCGATAAAGTCCACCGCCTCCTTCACAATGCTCGGCTCCCAGATGTTCAGCAAAGTGCGGGTCTTGGACACCATCTGGTCGCACAGGGGCATCATGTCGGTGACACAGCGGCGGCTGGCCAGCTGCAGGAGCTGGGACATCAGTTCGACGATCTCCTTGCGCAGCTGCTTGGTGGCTTGGACGGCATCGTTGGCTGCCTGCACCTTGCAGGCATTGCTCTGCTCCAACTTCCACGACTTGCTCTCCTGCAGGAGTCTGCCAACAAAACAAAGGGATATGGTTAATGACTCCTTCGAGAATCCACTGCGATGCAATCTCTCACTTGATCAATCCGCCGCACTGTCGACCCTTGGCATCGTGTCGCGTGAAGGCGCCCACCGTCACTATGTCTAGGAACCCGCGCCGCTGCAGGGTGTCGTTCTGGGCCCACATTCGTTGCACGTGCAGATTGACGGGCAGAAACTCCAGCGACTCGTCCGTCTTTACCGACGACCGTTTGAAGAAGACCCCATCGCGGGCCAACTGCTGGATATTCTGCTTGGCCTGCGAGTAGTCCTTGAGCAGGCGCAAATGCTCTTCGAGCAGATTCATCTGGCGCCATCGCCACTCGCCGCTCAGCTCGCCCATGCCCGAGATCTCCTGCAGCAGCTCCTTCTCGCGCTGTATCCAAATGGAAAGCAGCTGCTGGGGCAGCACGCAGCACAGACGCGACTCCAGCAGCGTCTCCTGCACGCTGATGTCCGCTCCGAGCGAGGAATGCAATCGATATGTGTGCAAGCGAGGCTTGGCGCAGACCTTCTGCAGGCCGCATTGCTGCGGCACAAACAGGCGCACGCCAAGCTTCGGTGGCAGCGATTGAGTGCGACGATGGGCTGGTGGACCAGAGCGAAAAGTGCATAAGTCTCTGGCGACATGTCCGTCGGTTCGTTAAGCACTTACCTCGCCTGCCGCTCCCGCTGCCGCTGCTCCCTGCAGCCGTTTCGAAAAGTTGTGTGCTGGACCGGGGGGGCGGCGCCAAGCCGTTGCCTGCCGCTTGGCCCGGTTCCACGGCTGCCTCCGGTGACCAGGAAACAAGAGTAATGAAGCCGCATTCGCCACGCGGCGAACCCACGGGCAGACGCAGTCGCGTGGTGTCCTGTATGACGCCCAGGGCCACCTCGGCATGGCCCAGGGGCACCGATGTCAGCGTCATGCGCTCGCGCACATCGTGGACACTGAAACGCAGACGTGTGGAGGCAGTGAACCCGGCGCTGCGCTGGAAGCGCATCGTGGCCAGGAACTGCGGCGTGCGTGTACCCTCCTGGAGCTCCGTGCGGGCATGCTCGCGCCAGAGGCAATCCTCCCCTGGCTGCAGCACCGAGCAGACAACACGCGGATTGGGATCACGCCCGAAGGTGTCTACCGGCAGGCTATCACAGGACAAGGCCGTCTCGCAGATGGGCAGCTCCGAGAGGTCCAGTTCTGGAAGGAGAAGCAGATCAGAACAGATCAGAGCCGAGCAGACAGGAACGCTTGGAATAAGAAACGAAACGGAAAGAAACGAAAAACAAAAAAACAAACTCGTTTCCGTTTTAAATTCAAAAATAAAATTCAATTTTATTCCAAGAATAAAACCCATTTCCAGTGCGAGATCGATCTCCTTGCAACCCAACCCAAACCAATCGCCCGTTAAATTTACAAATACAGTTATACAAAGATATATACAATGGAAGCGACATGGTCTTGGAATGGAATGGAATGACGATGGGCTTTCTTTCGTGTGTGTTTGTGTTTGCGTAACGGAAATGCAAATGAGATTTATGTGTGCGACTGCGAGTGTGAGTGTGAGTGCGAGTGAGTAGGATACAGCTCTCTGTTTCAAAGAGAGAGGGATGGAGAGAGCGAGTGCGAGAGAGTGGGCCAGTGCGAGTGAGAGACACAGAGCGAATTTTGTTAACTAAAAAAACAAACTGAAACATAAACAATAACAACATCCACATCCACATTATTTGGTTTTTCTCTCTTCGTTTGTTTTGTTTTTGTTAGAACTGTATAAGATCACCTTCAAAGGGCGGTGCTACTTCCACGGGAGGAGAGTCCCCCGCTGTCTCCTGCTGCTGATGCTGCTGGATCGTTGCGGGTGGCACTGGCACACCCAAATCAATATTATTGCCCATGGCCAGAGGTAGCTGCCTGCTCTTGACCACAATCTGCTCCTTCAGCTGGTTGATCAGCAGATTCAGCGTCTCGTTGGACGCCTGCTCAATGCTGTATACCCAGGCTAGGCGCTCGGCCGACGAGTAGCTGATGAAGCGCTCCGTTGGACTGTCTTTAAAGTCTATAATACACAACAGATTAGCAAGAGAATTCACATAGGCCGCACGTAGCAAGCATCACTCACCTAAATCGAATATATAGCCCTCCAGGTCGCAGTCTTCATTCTGAATGCGGGCTCGACAGTTCTCCAGAACCAGGACACCCGATACTGGGGATTTGGGATCCTTGTCTTTTAGGCAAAACAGCAGATTGCCGCGCAGCTTGCACCAGCGTTCGACTCTGACTGTGGGAAGGGAGAATGGAATTGTGCATATAAGCAGAGTGCTTGGACAGGACTTGGACTTATCGGTCCAGCAGTGTGCATGGGTGTGTGTCTGTGTCAGTGTCAGTGTGTATGGCATGAGCATTTGCATTTGCATGTGCATGTGCATGGCATGTGATCAGGGCTAAAAATACGTGGGATACGTTTTGGGTGATTAACCGCTTATCTGCTACGCTACCTCTGGCATGTACACATACCTTCACTGCGCCACAGGAATCCCTCCTGGCGATCCGTAACGATGAGCAGGCCCTCCTTGTCGAACTTGGTTGCCGGACTGGTGGCCAAGGCGTTCAGCTCCGACTTGTTAAAGCGCATGGCGACACTGTAAAGGCAAATATGGGGAAACGATTGAACGGAAGCTCAAACGGCAAGCAAATTCCCGGCACGCCCCACTGTACGAGCGGCGTTGGGGCAAGGGCCCACGGTCGTACATATGTGGGGGGTAAGCGAATTAATAATTTAACCAAATTACACGCTCAAGAAAGTGTACGTGTGCCCACTGGAGTGAAGATGCGTGGTGGGGCGGGTCGGGGATGCGCGCAAGATGGGCGAGGACGTTGGGTGGGCGGTGGGCTAAAGCAGCAAATGGTACACATACACACCTCCTCTCCTCTCTCTGCCTTTTGTTGTTATTGCTGCCGTTGGCTGCACAGCTGGCGGCGTCGACGTCGGCTCCTGCTCTCGGTTAATGTGCTGAGTCATCCGATTGCCAGTCAATATCTTCTAATTTGGGTTATTTTTACTATTTATTGGACTAATATATTGATAAACTTTAGATAAACGAGCTGCGTTTTGGCTTCATTTTCCAAAATTCTCCACAAGAACTACACCCTTACTACACGGTAACTACTCATTTGATACATAATGGGAGGAAAAAGAGGGTATGTACAACAGCCAAAACGGTGCAGAAAATGCAAACGCATGCAAGAAGAAATCCACCCCATTTGCCCAATATACCTTGGAGACGAAAAGCCGATTCTGTCTTCAAGGTATGTTGTCCTAACTCGCGAGGTGAGGTTCGTACGAAGCTTGCAGTTTGCCTTGGCTGTTTTTGCCAGTTGTGCATACCCTCTTTTATGGCCCATTCAAAATACGACTCATTTTTTGCAAAAATATCGATGAAAAAATAACTTAGCGAGATAGTTTTAAAATTTTTGCTGCGAACAGTGTGTCTTATCTTCACGGTCTGACCCTCAGGAATATACCGATGGATATATTATTGTTGGTTTTACTGAAAAACATACTCCTAATATCGATAAAATCGATACCAATAAAACAGCAAAAGAAACCGTTATAGTTGCGCTCAACTTAATCGAACCTTAACTTATTGTTCCATGTTCTAATAAATATTAAATAGTCAGAGCACATTTTTGAATGCAGTTGAAGGATTTTATAAAATTTCCCACAGGTTTGTTTTGTTTTAAACAATATTAAAAGGTACAATTTTACTAGGAACGGAAAAGAGAGAGTGCCGCACACACATACAAATTGCACATCCATTATTTATAATAGCTACAAGATATGGCCATGGTGGCTTCACTCTCGTTTCCTGCGATCACCTATCTAGTATCGAAGATGCGGCTGCTCTTGATATCTACCTTAAACTGTCTCGACCATTCAGCCAGTACATCGAACTGCGAAAAAAATTAATTAATTAATTAACTAGTTTGGGAAGGATGGAAGTTCAGGTATTAAGCTCACTACCTCACGCTCCATAATGTTTTCGCAAAAACTCAGATCCAACAGCTGAAGCTTGGGGCAATGAACCAGAATGCTGAAAGAAATAAAGCTGCAGTTGGTATTTGTGCTCGTGGCGAATCGAGAGTATGAAACCCACTCGTAGATACGTTCGTGCGTTATATTCAGTATCCCCATGAGATCCAATTGCTCCAGGTTTTTGCCCAGCGTGGCAATGTGTATGAGATCCCGCTCAGTGGTGCCCCGCACTGCCGACAGAAATAGCTTCCTCAGCTTGGGACAGTTGGACAGCAACTGAAACAAGCCATCTCCCAGCGATGCCTCACGCAGGCTATAAGCAGAATACACATGAACAGATGCATAAGTAATGCCGAAAGCATTAGAACATACCACCAGCCCAGATCGAGCTCCTCCAACTGAGAACACCGAGATATGGCTAAAAGTCCTCGAGCCGACAGAAAGTGCGCCTTCCACAGATCCAGCGATACAAGCTGTGTGTTGTACGTGGCCAGGTGATCGGCCACATCGTCCATATTCACCGACACACCGCAGAAGGCTAGATTCAGATGCTTAAGCTTGCGATTGCCCTCGAGCATGCTGAGCAGCAGCTCTGTATCGAAGGCCGTTTGGAAGAGATCAAGACGCTCCAGGTTCTTAAGATTTGCCAGACAGGAGAAGTTCAATAGCGGCGGATCAGTGGCACAATTACGCAGGCTCAACTCTGACAAAAGAACATACAAAACCAATGAGACCAGACCCAAGAGAAAATCCAAGCGACATACCAATCAGATTATCACAGACTATGCCCACATTCTCAATGCAGCTGGCGTTTAGAAATTTACAAGAGTTTAGCCGCAGGTGGGTAAGATTATCGCCTCGCTGGGTCAGAAATCTGTAAAGAATTCCATAAGAAGAATAAGATTTTAATACATCTCCACAAGCAAGGACTCACTTTTTGAATTCGGTGGGTGAAATTTCGTTGGAGCCACCACACCAGGAGAGATCCAGTTTGCGCAGCATGGTGGCCCGGCGGGCCAGAGTGCACAGGAGCTCCGAGCTGGCCACCAGCCAATAGGGCTTCAGGTTGAGCTCGGCGTAGAGCAGCGGATGAGTAGAGATGTCGTAGAAGGTGCGCGACACGCCCCCCACGCGAAACAGTGACTTAAGGTCCAGGTAGCTGAGTATTTTCAAGATGATCTCAAACGGCAGATCCGTCACACACATGCCAGGCGGCACTGCCTCTGCGGCTGAGGCAGAGACTGAGGCAGAGACTGAGGCCAGAGGATCCTCGAGGCGGTTGTCCATCATAAATTTGCCAAGATCATTGCTGATGAATTCGTGCAGGCTGGTGTCACTTTTCTCCCTGAAGTTCGGCTTGAATTCCAGTGACCGCAGCTTGCAGGTGATGGATCCGGCCATCTGGCCACTGGCCATCTTCGAAAGCGGCGAGAGGGACTTGTTGGCGCGTGCCTGCTCCCCCAAAATGCTTTGAATAAGACGACCCGAGACTGTGCGTCCGCACAGCATGATGGCATCGATTTCCGTGTAGTAATTGAGCCGGCTGTGGTTGAAATCAATGCGTATCGTTCTGTTCGGGTCAAAGGAATCGAGAGTTAGTAAGGATGCCACAATTGCCAAGCTCACAATTGGGTACACGATTTAGGCCCTACTTTGTTATCATGGTGGTCTTTTTCAGCGTCGGCGCAAAGCGTCGTGAATTGCGTGGCGTTGGTGCGGTCAGATCGGTGTCCAAGGTCTCCCAGAGGCAGGTCCAGTGCTTGGTCAAACCATAAGCCCAGATGCGTATCACAGCCCCAGGATTGAATGTCTCAAAAATGGCCACCTCCGTGGGCACCACATAATCCTCAAAGTAGACCACTGCAGCAGGAAGAGAACCAAATATTGTACCTGCCACCAAGCCTTAAATGGAGGAGATAGGAGATCTGATCTTACCAATGTAATCGTGTGTAGCCAATTTGGGTAGATTCTGCGGCTGAATCTCTCGCGTGGCAGATGGTGCCAGTTGCCACCAGTCACCGTAGGTGCGCTGTGGAGAGAAGCATTTGCCGGTTAACACACTTGAGGGGTGTGGCACACAGCGGGTGGCACACGGGTGGCACTCACCATGGTGAAGGTCTCTGGGTAGTCGCCGTAGTTGGGGAATTTCGATGGCCTGCCAATCACATTGGCCGCCGTGTACGAGATGCTATACTCGATGCCATATTGCGAGCTAAAATCCAGCACGCCAAGGACAAACTGCTCGAGATAGTAGCCTTGATCCTCCACTTGGTCTGGCTGCATTTTGCTGCCGCAACCAAACCAGCCACTGAGCTCGCGCTGGCGCTGCATTAGCATGGTCGAGAAATCGATCTGGGCATCGAGTTCAGTGTCGCTGGAACTGGAGGTGGAGGTGGAAGCGGAGGCTTGGGCGAGGGCCAGCAGGGACATAGTAGCACTGGCCAGAAGGCCTTGGCCGAAGGTCAGTCTCAACGTATCGTTCGACAGCAGCGACAGCGACCGTCTTTCTCCCTCAACGTTCCAGGGCAGACGTTGGGCATAACCCAGCCAGAATCGTCGTAGCTCCTCCTGCTCCACAAGGTTGCGCCTCCAGCTGAATGGCCCAAGGGAAATTAGCGCCGCGGTCCTTGTAAATACGCTGTCCTTGCCCTTGAGACGGCTGCTGTGGCCAGTTTGTTCACGTTGCAGGGCCAGACCTTAATGTGATTGGAAAGACGTCGTTGTGTTCCTCTTTGTCGCTGTTCGCTGATAATCCAATTAGACATTCCAATTGCAAAGTCCTCTTTGAAATTTATTTCCTGTTGTTTTCGGGAGGCGGCAAAAGTCTTGTTTTTCCATATGCTTGCCGCTAATTATGCCACTTCCCTGGAAGTGTTTGTGCTTGTGAAGACTTTGGCTACAATAACAATTGGTAGGCTTTTATTTTTTAACAACTGTTTTTATTAGCAATTTTTTGACTATAAACAAAAAGGTCAAAGCATAAAACGTAATTTGCACGGAATGAAACGTAAGTGTGTACGGAATGAAACGTAAGTGGGTAACTACACATTTTGCTACATATCAACTACATATTAATGTAAAAAACGTTACGTAGTTGCAAAGTTCAACAGCAGTGCCCATAAGATACTAGAGCTATAGTCACACTATAGTCACTAGAGCTGCGAGCGAAGTTTGAAAGTGGTTCTATACCCTAATAAAACGAAACTCAAAAGATGGATTATATACACCATTACATACTAAAATACCGTAAATAAACCTTCAACTCAATAATATATCCTAAATGGGTATTTTCTTGTTTTTTCATTGATTTCAGTATTATTATCGGATCTATCGAAACCGGATACCTTATCATTTTCAAAATATACCGTAAATCCGCCCATGAAAAAAGGCATTCGATGTGTATTTCCGCCGCCTCCTCTGCTCTGACAGCACGCCCATACGATATCAAGCGATAGCCGAACAGCTTTCGAAGTAAAGCGAGCGGATCAGTTTTGGTTCTCCCACTGGTTCTAGAAGTTCGGAGTCACTAGTTTTACGGTGACGCCTGCACTGGTTCTAGAAGTTCCGCTTTGTGGCGCCGCTCATACTAGTTCCAGCGGTGGTTCCTCGTTAATTTTAAATAAAAATGCAATATTTTCGTAGTTTCTGTCGCCCATTAAATCCCGCCAAGAAATCCTTCCGCTCCCACCCACCACTCAGAGTTTCACAATCATTTTAGTATTTTTTTATTTTCAATGCTTCGTCTTTTGTTTTTTTTTCGGTTTTTGTTTTTTGTTCTCTTTTGTTTTGTTTTGTTTTCGTTTCTTTTCTCTTTTGTTGGGAAATTAATTAATTTATTACTTTTTTATGTTTTACTTATTGATTTAGTATCTTCCACATCCGCTCTCTCGTTCTCTCTCTCTCAGTTGCTCTCGTTTTCCGCCTCGACACACCATCCTTCCTTCGCGCTTTCTTTTGCTTGCCCTCCCTATCCTTCTCTACATATTTGAGTTTTCTTCGATTCCCATGGGTCCTGGTGTGGTATGGCGGTGGTGGTTGTTGGGGGGAGGGGGGAGAGTGGGCGAGGGCGGGAGTTGCAGTTTTCGGGTGGGATGGGAGCCGGAAGCAGGGAGCAGAGGCGGTGGCGGTAGCGGTGGCGGTGGCTTTTGGGGGAGGGGTTCCAGTACTGAATGCATTCTTCTTTCTCCTCTCGTATCTCCCCTTCCTTTTCATTTTTTCGTTTAAATAATTTTTTAGCATAACTATTAAATAATTTTTTTATATATATAATATACTATATATATATGTATATGCATACATATGTATATATACATATATATGTATATTCGCTTTTTGTTATTTGCTTTTCATGTTTCTCTGCTCTTTTGTTTTCCGCTTCTCTTCGGTTCAATTAAAGTTCCTTTTTTTTGCTTTATATAATTATTATCATAATTATTATTTAATAAATTACTCAACAAATAATTCAATTGGTTTTCTGTTTCCTTTTATCTATTCTTCCCCCCGTGCTTCTCCTCCAGTGATGCTGCTGCTGCTCCTGCTCGTTTTTCCTTGTTCCCTCTGCCTCCCGCCCGACCTTTGCTTTCGTTTCGTTTCGTTTCCTTTGCCTTCCTTTGCTTTGTCTTTGCTTTTGCTTTAAGTATATTTATTTTGATTCGTTTAGTACTATTTAAACACTTAGTAGGTATTTAATTTTTCAAGCTTATGCCTTTTTCTCTTTCTGTCCGAAGCAAAAAACAAAAAACTCAAAAATATATACCATATACCATGGCGGGGGCGAGGGGGAAGGAAATTTCAAACAAAAAAAACATCTGTTTTAAGGTTCTATTTTTTCAAACATTTTGCTTGTTTATTTTGTTTCTCTGGTTCTGTTTCTCCGTCTCTCTGCTACTCATTTGCTTCTTCCTTTTGTTGTGTTTATGTGAGTGTGTGTGTGTTTGTGTGTATGTGTCTGGATTGGCTGTGTGCCGGGCCTCGAACGGATCGAAGCCGTCGAAGAAGAGTCGAGTCGATCCGTGGTAATAAAAAATAATGATAATGGTACGCCATATGCAATAATAATCATAATAATAATAATAATAGTCGCATTTTAAATATGTATCATTTATAATTTAAAAATGTGCATTTTACAAATATATTATATAGATAGATTCGCGCTCTCTTCCACTCCACAAGCTCCTGCTTACCCTCCTGCTCCTCCTCCTCCTCCTCCTCCATCATCTCATCTGATCTTCTCCTCACACTCTCTCTGTCTCTACAAATAAAATCAACACTCACACGCATGCAGTCATCAATCATCAATCATCAGCTAAAAGCTAATGCCAACACAATCGTTTTACACAATCGGAAACAAATATCGGCCATTATATAGTAGTCATCATATCGTTATCGCATTTGGGGCAACAAAAAAAAAGACTTACAAACTGATTGATTGGCTAAAATTAAAGGAAAGTACGTACATTACATATACAAATCGGTTCTGAAATGGTATTTCTGGTTTTTGCCTTTGCAGCTTATTCTCTCTTTCTCATTCTGCTTCTCTTGCTCTTTCTTCTCTGCCACCTTCTCTGTAGAACTTCTTCTTCGTCTACATATTGTTTCTTTGTTTGTTTTTTTTTTTTTGTTTTCTTCTGCTTTTTTCAGCTTTTCCTCGTTTAGTTTTAATTTTAATTAGGCATAAATTATTTATATAAATATTTACAATTCATTTTTTGATACTTTGTTTTTTAGGGAGTTTTTGTTTTGCTTCTTGTTGCAGCATCTTCTGTTTTCGGCTTTCCGCTTTCGGTTGTCCGTTTTCTGTGTTCTGTGTTCTGTTTTGCTGCTCCTCGCTTCTCTCCCTGCTATCCTTCGCCTCTGTTCTCTTCTCTCACACAATATTTCATATTCACTTTAGCGCTTTTTAAAACTAATTTCTCTTTCAGCTCTCTTTTTGGATATCATCCTTTATTTCGCTTTCGTTGCTTTTGGGCAAACAAAAAATGTACTTCGTGGAAAGAAAGGCTTTCTCTTTTTCCCCACCTCATTTCTCCCTAGTTTTTACTGTGTGTGCATGTGTGTGTGTGTGGGGAGGGGGGGGCGTTTATACACCCGATACTCAACGAGCATGGGGATATATGTAGGTAGGTATTATTTTTTTTTGTCTGGCTTTAGGCAGATCTCATATCGGTTTTACATACATATAGATCTATATATTATTGAAACATTTAGCTTGGTAGTTTTTGTTGTTTTTTTTTTGCTGTTTTTATATAATTTTTTTTCTTTTATATATAGTATAATTCTATTAATATGCCTTGGATATTAATATTTAATACAATTTTACGCATAGTGCATTACAAATACGGTTTAAAATTAAAAAAAAAAAAACACATTTATATATACATATATATATATATATATATATATAATTATATATACACATATATATATATATATAATTTGTTTTGTATCATATATATATATAATTTTTTAATAAAAACTATTACATTAGTTTATGATTTAATTAGAAGTATCATTTTTACTTCGGATCGTGTTCACACTTTTCTTGATTTTTTCCCTTCTTTCTGTTACCCCCGGTTTGCCCCCTCATCTTCTGTCTACCGTGGCCTTGAAAGTTTCTGCTCTGTCCCTCTCCGATTTCCCATTTCCCCTCTTTCTGTGGCCCATCCCGTGTAAAACTCCCAAACAGCAACAGAAACTAATAATGGATTTAATCTGTGTATGTGTTTTTTGTTGTTTCCTTATCCTGCCTTTCTTGAAACGGTATTTACTGTTTTTGTTGTTCTTTTTGGAATTGCATTCGATTTCGGATTCTGTTTCGGTTCTGCCGGGAGGAGGGGATATCTTTATATACAATATGTATATGGCATATGGTGGATGAATGGATGGATGGTTATAGACGTGTGTGGTGTATTGTGTGTGCGAGTGTGGGATTTGCTCGATTAAATCAAATTCATTTCGGATTTTGATACAAAACAAACAAGAATATGATTTGTGGGTCGAAAAAAGCGGAAGGTGAAAACCCTATACATCCACAATTTTGGCAATTAATCATTAATTAAGGTCGAAGTGCTGTGTGTGTTGGAGATTTTAAAATAGGCATTTAATCCATAGATTTAAAAGTTAAATATGGTTACGATACGGTTAGGTTATGTTAGGGTTTAAGGCGCATTAAAACAGTCTGCGATGTCGACGATGTCGGTGTGTGTGGGCCGTGCGGTGTCCTGTTCTGTGTGTTATGTGATAATGTTTGATGGTAGAACAAACAAACAAAACCCAAAAAACAATGCAATCACTTGTCCGTCTCCTCTCCTCCGTTTTGCTCTGGTATTCTTATCTCTTCTCCACTTTCCTTTCACCTTCTTCTTCTTCGGCTTATTCGCCTTCGATACTGTTGGGCTTTAGCCCATGCTAATTTTCTATTTTCTTTTCATTATGGGGGGGGGAGGGGCTGTTTGTTGTGTTTTTTTTTTACGTGTGTGTGTATCATTTATCATTACTATTTTGTAATACAAAGAAAAAATTGTCAACTCTCTCACGCGTTTCTCTTGGGAATATCGTTCGACTTCTGTTTCTCCGCTTCGCTTTTTTCTCAGTGTGTGTGTGTGTGTTTTGGATGCCACCCTACTTACTAATTTACAGTTATTATTAGCTTTTCTTTAGCTTTTATTATATAGTAATTATTCTGCTTGGTATTTTTATAGTTAACAAAAAAAAAAGTGTGTTTATAGCAGCCTTTATAAACAATTTCATCGCAAGCATTTTGCTTGTCTCTCTCTCTCTCTCTCTCTCTCTTTCTCGCTCGCTCGCTCGCTCTCTCTCTCTCTCTCTTTCTCCCTCGCTTCCCCTTGCTCTTCGTTTACTTCTCTTTTCGCATTGTTTGCTCCGTTCCTGTGCTCTCCTGCTCTACTCCTTCTTCTATTTTTAGCCAAGACTTTGCTTTGCTTTGCTTCGCTTTCTCCTTCTCTCCTGCTCTTCTGCTCTTTTCCGCTCTCTTTTGTCGGTTCATGCTGCTTTATTTCCTTTCCTTCCCTTTCTTTTGTTTTGTTTTTGCTTTACGCTTGTTTATCACATTTAATATATATATATATATATATTCACGTATATATATATATATTTATATATAGTTTCTTTATATTAAGTTTTTGTTTTTGCTTTCGCATTTTGCAGTTGTTTTTTGTTGTTGTTTGTTTTGTTTTTGTTTGCGACTTGCTCTGGAAATATTCCTCGAAAGGATGAACTGAACTGAACTGAACCCTCCTCCTCCTCATCCCTCTCTGGCTGTTGTTCCTGTGGTCTATCCTCTGGTTTCTATTCTGCTTTTTCTGCTATATATATATGTATACATATATATATATTTAGTAATAGTTTCTCCATCGCAGCAGCAGCAACAACAAAGCATTGCATTGGCAGTGTGACGCACACCAGCAGCAGCCTCTCTTCTCCTTCTCCTCGCGCCGGTTCCTTTAGAGCAGCTCTTGCTGCAGCAGCAGCATCTGTTGTTGCTGCTGCAACTGGGCCTGCTGCTGCAACTGCTGCTGCTGCCATCGCTTGTATTTTCCTTGATAGGCGCGCGGAGATGTCGCCTCCGCTCCGGTACTTGCGCCCATGCCCGTACTCGTGCCCGTACCGGTGCCCGTGCCCGTGCACGTTGTCGTGCTCATCAATCCCAGTCCCAGGCCCATTCCCGTTGTCATCGATGTGGATGTGCATGTGGCATTGGCCACCACTGACATGGCGGCAGCCATGGCGGGCAGCGTTTGCTTTGTTGTGTTTGTGGTGTAGTGGCCGCCGCATCCGCCCGCATCCATCACAGTCTCATAGCAATAGGCCGCCGCGTCGAGCAGCGAAGCCGCATAGTTGCTGCTGCTACAGTTTAGTAGCTGATGATGTTGTTGTTGGGGTTGTTGGTGATGTTGTTGTTGTTGTTGTTGTTGTTGATGATGGAGTTGTTGTTGTTGCTGATGCTGATTATGGAGATGGTTGTGGCTGTGGCTGTGGTGATGCTGATGCTGATGGTGGTGCTGTAGTTGTAGTTGTAGTGTATTTGCTACTGGTATTACTGGTGCTAGTGCTGCTACTGAATGTTGCTGCTGCTGTTGTTGTTGTTGTTGTTGTTGTTGCTGTTGTTGTTGTTGATTCTGCTGCTGTTGCTGTTGCAGTTGCAGCTGTTGCAACTGTTGCTGTTGCTGCTGTTGTTGTTGTTGTGCGACTGTGGCTGCTGCGGCGGCGGCGGCGAATTATGAATTGGAATTGCGTTTAGTTGGCAGCTAGGATGAGCTGGACTGATTCATGTTGCCAAACATGTGGGCTGAGAACGAGGTCTGGCCGGTTGAATTGGCCTGCGATGTCGATGACTGTTGCTGCTGTTGCTGCTGCTGCTGCTGTTGCTGCTGCTGCGCCTGCTGCTGCTGATTGAGTGATCCCCTGCCATGCTTCGGTATCGGTGGCTGGATATACTCGTGTCTTGCCAATGCAAACACATCCATGCGATCCTCTTTACGATACGCCAAACATCCACGTATGAAGCTCTAAGGGAGAGAATATTGTATAATAGTGTATAGAGTATAGGGGATATTAGATATTCTATGCTCGTCAAACGCATACCTTTGCCTCATTCGAAACAGTTGGCTTATTGGAGAACTGCACTTCGGTGGCTTTCAGTATGGTATTCTCCTCCAGGATGGTGGCCTGCGACTGATTATGCCCGAATGGCTTCTTTCCGTACAGACACTGATAGAATATCACACCAACACTCCATACATCAACTTTTGATGAGATTTTCGGTGGATTTTTGCCAACGACAAAGCATTCGGGTGGCAAATACCTAAACACAAAAACAAACCCAACAAGATACAGGATACAAATGAGTACGAATGAGTCGAATCTTTCGAGAGTAGAAGCCAGCAAGCAAGCAAGAGTACGTACCAATAGGTGCCCGCTCCCTGGGAGGTTAGATCCATGCCATGATCTGGATTATAGTTCTCGTCATCCATCACCTTGGACAGGCCAAAGTCGGTGATCTTGATCTCGCCACAGACATTACCTTCGGTCAGTAGTATATTGCCGGGCTTCAGATCGTAATGGATGACCGGTGGCTTAATCTCATTCAGATACTTGAGTGCAGATACAACCTACGAGACAAAAAGTGTACCTCAAGCACCACTCCAACAGGCTACACGCCACGCTCTGCCTTCTACTCACCTGCATTATTATCGAGCGCGCTTCACGCTCGGGTATAGTCTTATGTTGCTTCAGATAAAAGTCCAGATCGTGGCCATCGCAGTACTCGAGTACGGTGCAAAAGGAATTCGCATCGATCTCGAACACATCATAGAGCTTCACGACGCGAGGATGATCCAGTGCCTTGTGGATGTTGTATTCCCGCAGGGCGTGTCTGATTAACGCAAGGATGCAAGGATGCAAGGATGCAGAGATGGAGATGAATGGGGAAATTAACAGAAACGAGACGAGACATTAGTACACAGATATAGCCAGCCTGTAAATGGTATACTCCCGGGACCCCCAAAAATGAATTCTTCTAATTCTGTTCCCCTTTCACTTATGGGAACTTCTTATGCTTATGTTTCACAGCAAATCAAATCCTTCCCGCAGTATTCCCCTAGACTCTGAAACTATCGGAAACCGGAAAGTACCCTCCAAAGCAGTCTCCCAAAACAGGGAGTCTCTAAACATCTACGGCGCTTTCGTCGGGGGGCAACAGTACGCCTCCTGGAGGTGTGACGAGGTGGTTGGAGACATTGGTTTTGCCTCTAATCATTCAACAATCCTCTAATGCAGATTTATCAAGAGTCCTTCGTCCGTCCTTGTGCCAGTCTGGAAAATCTTGCTTTTGATCTATTCCCGAAAAGCATCCCAATATTCCACCGTTCTTCACAATTGCTGGCCGTTACCCGAGTCCCATTCCATTCCATCCGGATCGATGGATGCCCTTTGATAAAGTTTGCTTTCCTTCTAGAACGGACATACACAATGAATCCCGAAATCATTGCAGGAGGAGCCCTCGTCTGATCGGAATCTGCCCTGCTGAATCTACTCGTATCTCCATATTCTATACTATACTGCTCTTCTTTTCTCCTATTGCTATTCTCCTGCCCTGCTCTGTGCTCTGTGCTCTTCTCGGTCTCTTCTGCTTGGCTCTCTCGCGCGTGAGGCCTTGCCTTGCCACTCACTCTCTCACTACTCACTTGATATAATTAGCTTTCTTATCCTCCTTCCAATCCTTGTTTAATTGGTGCACCTTACATGCGACATAGCGTTGCTCCTTGAGGTCGAAGGCCTTGTGCACCTCGGAGAAGCCGCCCTTGCCCAGCAGCATCAACAGCAGATATCGATCGTTCAGCACGGGATGATTGTTGAAGCGGGACTGCAGAGAAACAGCGAGGAGACTCGTTAGACAGGAACCAGAGAGGAGCCAAAAAGAGAGAAGGAACAACCCCAGTTACCTGATCCTCGTTGAGAATCCGCTTGAGTTCACGTATGTGAAGGTTACGCTCCCGCTCGAGCTTCTCCATCTCCAGCTGCAGATCGGCGTCCTCCTTTTTGAGGGCGTTCTGTCGCAGCTTGAGGATCTCATCGTATTCGTAGTACTCCTGCGCTGTGTAGGCCCCCGAGACGGGATCGGGCTTGAGGAACGTCCCCGAATCGGAACAGCTGCCGCTGTCGTTGCCCCCAAGGCCGCCTCCGCCGCCGCGGTCCGAGAGGCGATCACCCACGCCGCTATTGCCGCCGACATTGCCGCCAGACCCGCCACCGCCGTTGTGCAGGAGCTGTGCCTGGTTGGCCTGCGTCGAATTGGAGCGCGAGAGGCCGCGTCCGCTGCCGCCGCCACCTCCGCCGCCGCCACCGCCGACACCACCGGCACCGGAGCCACCGAGAGCGCCCGAATTTTGGCCACCCATTCCGCTGTCAACGCTGCCAGCGGCACCGCCACCGCCACCGAGGCGATCACTGCCGCCGGGGCCACCGCCGCCCGTGAGCTGGGAGGAATCATTGGAATTGGAATTCTGCTGCTGCTGGTTGTTCTGGTTGCTGTTCTGGTTGTTCCGCTTGCGTCCGGACTCCGCCGGACGCTTCTTCATCAGCTGCTTCTTCTGGCGGTCGATCTCCTCGCGCTCGGCGGTGATCTCCTCCTGCCGTCGGCTCAGCTCCTGGAACGCATAACCGTCCGTCCAGTTCTCCTGCAGGGAGAAAAGAGGGCATTAGAAACTGAAGAAGAGATCAGTAGACGCGGGAGGGGGGATATTCACCTGGAATGTGGCGCCCACACGCTGTGTAACAAACTGTCCCAGCCGCAGGCGATTCTGCATGCACTTCTGGCGCGCCTCCTTCTTCTCGATGCTGCTCTTCTCCTTCAGCAGCTTCTTCACGACATCGATGCACTTGGCAATGTGCGACTTGTGCTGGTCGATCGTCTTCTGGTTACCCAGTATCTGGCACTTCTGCTCGTCCGACAGTCTTGTCATCTCGTCCAGCTTCACCTTCCCGGTCTCGTGCTCCGCCTCCCGCTCCTGCAGCTCGTGCAGCGACACCTCCGTCTGCGTGGCCTTGCTGTACGTGATCGTGGTGGGCATTGGCGGCGGCAAGGGCGGACCCACGCCCACGCCCACACTAACGCCCACGCCCATACCGCCGACGCCCAGAGAGCTGAGCTGGTGGGGATGTGAGGCCACAACGGCCACTCCGCCGGGCCCGCTGGCCGTCGATGTGGCGGGTGGACCGAGCTGCTGCTGTTGCTGCTGCTGGGTTTGGGCCGACTGCGACTGCGTCTGGATGAGGGGCGGCTGGATGGAGGCCAGACTGAGGGCATGCCCCAGGCCGACGACCACGTGCGAAGGAACCATTTGATTGGAAGTCTGTGGCTGCTGCTGCTGCTGGCGTTGCTGCTGCTGTTGCTGCTGCTTGCCGGAGTTGACGTAGTGGAAGTCCGCTCCGGTCTGCTGCTGCTGCTGCTGCACTTGGCTGGGCGCCACCTGCGTCTGTGGACTAGCGGGATACAGGGAGTATGCGCTGCTCGTTTGCACCTGGCTGGTCTGCACCTGCACCTGGACACTGGAGGCGGGCACTCCTCCCGAGGCAACGGACACTGTCGGCTGTTGCTGTTGGGTGGTCTGCTGTTGCTGCTGCTGCTGGGCGGATGAGGGTGACTTGCTGCCGGTGTGGGTGCCGCGTAGGGTCGCCGAATTGCCGCCCGCTCCAACGCCCACTCCTCCGACTCCGACGCCAACGCCCACGCCCACTCCTACGCCCACTCCAACGCCCGACTGCTGCTTGTTGAAGTAGTCGTTGATCTTCTTGTTGTCGCTGCCGGTGAGCATGAGGCGCGCACTCTTGCCGCCCGCTCCTGTGCCAGAGCTGGAGCTGCCACCGCCGACGCCGGCTCCACTGGAGACGCCTCCGGCGCCGCCCGAAACGCCCGTCCCACTGAGGCGCTCGCCGAGACCGAGGCTCATGGTCACCTTGGGCATATCACGAAAGGGCAGGGACTTGCCCTTCAGGCCTCCCCCCAGCCCGCTGCTGTTGTTCACGGCTCCGCCCGAACCACCGCCGCCGCCCGCGCCACTCGCATCCTCCGCATTGTGCGGCATCTTCCGTTTGCGCTTCCGCTCGGCTGGCGTGCGCGGCTTCACCGGCGTGGTGGTCGCCGTCGTCGTCGTTATGTACATGTCATTGGCTCCACCAACGCCGCCAACACCACCAACGCCACCGTTGTTCGAGTGCTGCATCCCTAGGGTCGGTGGAAAACTGGGGCACTGCGGCACCGACATACCGATGCCCGCCGCCGCCGCCGCTGCTGCCGCTGCCGCTGCTGCGGCTCCTGCTCCTCCGGCCAGAATATCGTTGACATCCTTCTCGCTGTGCGAGGAACCAGTGCTCATATTCGAGTCGGGATTGCTGCTGCCCCCAGCCGCTGCTGCCGCTGCCACCTGATGTTGCTGCTGGTGTTGCTGGTGCAGGCTCAACGATTGCTGGTGGAAATGCTGCTGCTGCTGTTGTTGCTGTTGCTGCTGGTGCAGCTGGTGTGGGGGCAGCAGTTGATGCTGATGCTTCTGGAGGATCTGTAGGTGTGGCTGCGACAGGATCTGCTGCTGCTGCTGCTGCTGGGGATTCTGTTGCTCCTGTTGCGTCTGCTGTTGCTGTTGCGAGCTGTGATGATTGGCAAAGTGCTGCTGCTGCTGCTGCTGTTGCTGGGGAGGAGCCTGCTGCTGCTGTTGCTGTGGGGGCTGCTGCTGCAGCTGCTGTTGGGGCTGCTGCTGCGGCTGCTGGTTGGGATGATGGTGGCTTAGGGTCGAAGTGTTCTGTGGGGCCATCTGCAATTGCGCGCCAGCGGACATCTGCAAGAGATTAAAGAGCATTGCATTACATTACACATTCGGAAAGGCAAACACAATAAACGACAACAACAACAACAACAACGATATTAAAATAAATACAATAAAAAACACTTAATTATAGTACAAATAATTTGCACAATCGATCGAAATCTTTCATTTTCTTTGTGCCTATCGATAGAGAGGGGAGATGATGATGATGGAGAGATCCAAACTCGCACTCTGCCACCCAACACTGCGCTTTGCAACACTGCCCACCAGTCGGGCTGCTGCGGGCTTTTGTTTTGATCTGCTGGTTCGCGGAGAGAGAGCGCTGCCACCGCACACTGAATCCCCAACAGGGTGGCAACCCGCAGCAGCAGCAGCAGCCCAAAAGGAAAATGTGCAAAATAAGCGAATGAGAGACAGAGAGAGAGAGATGGAGAGAGCGAATGTTTTTGTGAGGCGGCATGCGAGAGAGCGAGAGAGACCGCAATGCAATTGATGATGGCCCGAGTGAGTGTCAGTGTGCCCGTCTATGGATGTGTGTGTTCGTGTGCGCCCGTGTAATGTTTTATCAAAAAGCAAAGGCGCAAAGACAATGAAAACCACACTCACACGCACACACACACACACAAAAACCCATGAAACGAAAACCGAAAATTAGACGTGTGGAAAAACTTAAGTCGAAAAAATGAGAAAATGGCTACCCGCACAGCAAAACAAAAAAAAAAAGAATGTTTTCATTTAATTAAATTCACAATGTTTTGCTTTTTTCCACTTCTTTTTGCATTTGTTTAAACACATTTGTTTTTGCTCTCTTTTTAAACTCTCTCTCACACACTCTCTCTCTCTCTCTCTCTCTCTCTCCCTTTTTCTCTTTTTATTTTTGTTTCTGTAGTTTTTTTTCGTTGGATTTTGCCTTTTTTCTTTCTGCTTTTTTTTTGTTTTTAGAGACAACCACAAAATGCCGTTCACCTTTTTTAAGCGCCGCATATTATTCTGCACACACATACGTGGCCCTGTGTGTGTGTGTGTGTGTGTGTGTGTATGGGTTGATGAGTGCGTATGTGTGTGTGTATTTGTATTTTCACATTCTATTACAATTTGATCACATTTATTGCCGTTTCTTCTTCTTCTTCTGCTACACTCGTTGCTGTTTCTTTATGCACTCTTTTTTTTCTTTTCTTTGCACTCCCTCTCGATTCCGATGCCGATTCCCCACGCCCCACCACAACGACTACTATGTCGAACGCCGCTCATTTAGTTTATGTTTTATTCACATATAAATCTATGCGCGCCAGGGAGCTCCGCGAGTTGTGTATAGTTTTCATTTGTTTCACTTTTTCTTTATTTTTGCACCACACACAGAAATTGTTATACGCGTATTTGTAGCACAGTCGGGGGGACGGTGACGACAGAGACAGAGACACAGTGGACAGAGCGGCGCGGCACGGCACGGGAAAGCCGATGGAAAGAAGGTGAAAAGGGAACGAACAACACAAAAGAGCGAGAGCAATAAAATGCGGCGCACACATACACACACAAACAGACAGCCCGAGTGGCAAACGGGGAACAGACGGGAAACAAAATATACAACGGAACGGAACGGAACGATGACGATGGCGACGACGACCACGACGACGACGACGACGACGGATGATGTCTCGACGTGAGTCTCGGGAGTAATTTTTTATTTTTGTTTCTTTTTGCTATTTGCTAGAGTGATACACGACAACTGCAAAGAGGAAGCGAGAGGTGTTTTTTATGTAAAGTATTGCATTCGCATTCCCGCTCTTCGAGCTGCTTATTTTGCTCTATCGAACTCTTTGTGTCACAAAATAAGAAACCAACGGGAGAGCACTTTCGTAGAGAGAGTCCAACGACAGCAGGGAGAGCAATCTCGCAAACAAACCCAACGGGAGAGAGGGAGCAAAAGAGCAGTTTTGTTGTTAGGCAACAAACGAACGAATGAGCGAGTGTGAGAGTGCGAGAGAGCGGGCTGAAGCCGAAGCAGCCGACGGCAAGCAAGAGTACGTACACGAGCACTTTTCGCTCATTTGCAAAAAAGCGACAACGAAAAAAGAAAAAACCCAGGCAGCCGCCTAAAGAAAAGTACAATAAAAATTAATCCGATTGACAAACGCTGCCGTAGCTTCGTTTCGTTTCGTTTCGTTTCGCTCTTCTGACACTACCACTGGTGTTTCTTCTTCTTCTTGCCGTTTCGCTCTTTCTCTCCTGCTGCTGCTTCTTCTTCTTCTTCTTGTTGCTCTGACGCTTTTGATAAATATTTTCGCTGCGACTTCCGCGCGCGCGCCCAACCAAAAACAACAGCGAAAGCAAACTACAACAACTATTCGTATTTGTAGTTGCTGCTTCCCGCTGCGCTGCGTCGCATGGCGTCGCGTCACTGCTGCTGCGGCCGATTCTCCTTCTTCCTCTGTCCAACTTCCAACAAGCAGCAGCAGCTGCGTGCTGGCAGAGCTGCCAACAAGGCCCAGACCAGGCGAAGCCAGCCGGCGTCTTTGTCAATTCGCGAGCATCGGCGCTGAAACTGACGCTTACGTTGACGCTGACGCTGACAGCGGGGCCAGCCAGCCAGCCAGGCAGCAGCAGCAGCAGCAGTGCACAAACAACAAGAAATCAAAAGGAATTCCATTTTAAATGGGAAAAAAAGTAGAAGCAGTATTAACACACTCAACCCAACAATTATTCGTACACCCTCTCAAAATAGTTATTTTCTGCCCAATTATCTTAGATATCTTAAATTAAATTTTAATTCATATATTCAGATCAGACCTCCTTGCAGGACTTTCTCTTATGATCTTCTTTCCACATGTTTATTTTAAAAGCTAGACCAAACAAACGCACTGGCATGTATCTCTTCGCAAAAACTTCAACCAAAGTCGAATGTTTATTGTTTATTTTTGGTAATCGATACCCAATAAACAGACCAAAGGGAGGTACCACTAGCGCCACTCCGTAAACAGGTAACAGCCCCTCCTCCACTCCACTCCGTATTGGATACGAATTTTTGCGTCTCAGAATGCTTCTGTTTCTGCGTTGCAAACATCTGTTTGAAGTTAAAATACCTTCTCTTTGGCAAAGGGTATAACAAACCGCAAATGGAATGAAGAGGGAGGGCGGGGGACAACAGCCTAGAGAGAGACAGAGGGGGGGTTGAATGGGAGCACAGCCAGCAGTGTATAAAAGAGACTGAGTGGGGGAATCGGAGAGCAGGCCGGAGAAAAAAAAAAGAGTGTGTGATAGGACAAAGCTAGGAAGAGGGGCAGCGGGGCAGCAGAGCAGAGCAGAGCAGTGCGACAAGCGACGACAAGCGACGACGACGACGACTTAATTTTTGGGCCCTGCCTGGCTCTTGCTTCGCTTCGCTTCGACGTCTCCGCGTCTCACGTGCGCGTGAATGAGATAAATCTATGATGATGATTATGTTGCAGCAGCCTTTCGAGTGGGTGAGAGCGGAAAAAAAGGAGATGGAGATGGGAGAATGCCAGAGCATGCGAAAAAGAGAAACGAAAGAGCGCCCATGGCATATGATGCTTCAAAAGAGTGAGGGGGAGGTGGGGGAAGGGGGCCGGATTCGGGTACTGGTGTATAAGAGAGGAGTAGGGTGAGGGGTGTGCGAGGGTGTGGCATTACGCATGCATTTCTTATTGCAAGTGCTACCAAAAGAGCGGGTGAGGGAGAGAGATGCATTCCAATGATGCAGGAAAAAACCGTTGGTTGCAGTTTTTCGCTCTCTCTCTCTCTCTCTCTCGGAGGGCTATGCGGTGGGAGCTGCTAGTGCTGCAAGCGAACCTGTTTCTTTCCTTTTTTTTTTTGTTTTTGCCAAAATTTGTTGATAACACATCAATACACACTTGCAATTTTGCATCTGCAACCGTCTGCATGTGTGTGTGTGTAAAAACTGGTTATCCCCTAAAGACGTTGACTTCAAACAGCCATCGAACCAAGACACCAAACCCCAACCGAGCATCGAGCCTCGGTATCATACCCCATCTGGCAACACCGCACAGCTCACACACAAAATATTCGTATTCGTGTTCGTGTGCTGTCGTAGCCCATCGTTGGCTGCCGCCGTTTAACACATGGTAGAATTATTCAAGGTACGGTCCCTGCTAGGACATTATGCAATTACATGCCCCTGAGATGGGATGTTTGCCCAGTTCTCCCCACCTAATAGAGGCATACCATGCGTTCACATGTACAACATATACAGAGAGAAGGGTGGAAAATCCACTTAGGCCACCAAAAACGACAACGGTATGGTCATACCTTCTGAATAATTCTACCATGGTTTAAGTTCACGTCGATGAGTCAAGGTCGAGAGACGTCACGCAAATTTTCGTTTTCATTGCCTTTTGCCCACAAAAAAAAGCGCTCACACACACACATACCGTTTTATTTTTAGCCCCCTTCCGACAACGACGACAGACGAGCCCGAAGAGCGAGCCGAATGGTCGGTCGCACGAGTTGGCTTAGTGGAAGAGGGGTGGGGTGTGGGGTGTAAATGAATGAACGCAACCAAAACTAAACGGTTCATTGCTGCGGCGCTACTGCTGCTTATCCACAACTACGGCTGCGCTGCTTTTCCACTGGTTTGCTGCTGCTGTTGAAAATGTAGACTATTTTTTTTGCATTCAAATATAAAAATTATTCCAAAGGAATTACGATTTCTCTTTGGTCTTTAGTTGAGGGTTAATCAACAGCCCACGGACAGAGTCGCGCCGCTTGTAATGGGTTAACAGAAATTGTGCCCCAATTTGTGTGCTGTTAAGAGCAACGAATGATGGGCGCACAGAAACCGATGCCAACGTCGGCAGCAATCAGCAGAACGGCGCGACGGCGGCAGCGCTACAGCACGTGCAGGCGCGCGCAATGTAAACAGAGAGTAAGAGAGCGGACAGGGCCACACAGAGAGAGAGAGATAGAAGAGGAAGCACAAGAGAGGAGCCAAACAAATAAAGAGAGAGGAAGAAAAAACACAAAAAAAAAAAACAAAAAAAAAAACCAAAAGACAAACACTCACGCTCTTTGTTAATTTGCGACCGCCGCCTGTGTTGCGTTTGCTGCCATTGCTGGCGCTGCGACTGCGTTTACGTGCGGCGGCAGCGGCTGCTGCTGCTGTTGCCGTTGCGTTCGCTGCGGCCGTTGCCGAGGGCGTTGTGGTTGTGGCAGAGGCCAACATGGTGATGATGCTGGTTTTATATCTATGCTTCTTCTTGCGACTCCTTTTTCGTATTGCGGTTCTTCTATTAGTCTTCTTCTTGTTCGTGGAATGCCAGAGTTAGAGCGATAATCGCTCCATAGATGCGTTTCAAGAGCGGCATAACAGCAAAAACCTGTCCATTATGCCTCCGCACTACTGCACCCTCTCCTAACCAAACGTAGATATAGAGCCTGCCTTGGGCAGCGGGAGGGGGAGAGCGAGAGAGTGAGGAACAGCTGACACAGTTGCCGGCAAAAATCAGCTGCCCGTTCGGGTTTGATAGAGAGAGAGAGAGAGAGAGAGTAATGTATTCCGTGTGGTGTTTGCTCCGCTCTCCGTCTCGCACGCCAGCAGCAGCGAGAGAGAGCACGTTCGTTCGATGACGCTCTCCGGCGCTCCCTCGCTCTCCTCTCTCTCTCTGGCACTTTGGTTATTTCGTGCCGTCTGCTTTTTGTTTAGTATTTTCGCTGTATTTTTGCACACTTTACTTTTGCACGTTTTGGCACACACACACACAAAAACACATGCACATGAACAGAGAAAAAAAAAACTTGTCTTTGCTGCTGCCTTTGCGTTTGCCTTTGCTTTTGCACTTGCTTTTGGCTTTGACTTTGCGGCTACTTTAGCACTTGCTTCTGCTGCTTATTTGGCTCTTGCTTTTGCTGCTTTTTCGATTTTTTTTTATTTTAGTAGGAAGTTGGCGAAAAAATTGTCCG